CCAGCTCCCTCACTGTCCCCTCGCCCCCTCTCCGTGCGCGTCTCTCCCGCGCCCGGCGGCGGCGTGGGGCGGGGCCACTCACGCGTGTGCGCGAGCAGCGCCGCGGGCCGGCTGATGTCGTTCTTGTTGTTGGCGTTGCGCTTGACGGAGAAGACGGAGATGTTGTAGGCCCTGCCGGCCGCCAGGGCCCGGAGCTGGTGCGAGGAGCGGCTCCGGTCCACGAAGTCCGTGCGGCGGGAGGCGCCGTCAGAGGACGCGTAGGTGACCGCGTAGCCGTCCAGCACTTGCCTGGCCTCCTGGCCTTCAGGCGGGCTCCAGGAGATGGAGACCCCGCTCTCCTCCACCCGCTCCACCTTGAGGGCCGTTGGTGGGAAGAGCTCTTCAGGGTTTCGGCCAAGAACAAGGGAAGCGAGGTGGTCAGCTGTCGGCCGTGGAAGCCCCAGCCCCCCCGAGCAGGTGTCCGGCCGGGGGCTCTCCGGCCTGGCTACCCCGGGGCAGAGGTGGGCACTGCTAGCGTGGCACCCGCAGTGGACGCCTTCATTTTGGTTTCTGGCCACGGCGCCCCGGAGAGTCCCATGTGCGCGCACGTGGCCGCAGCTCTGCCCTCCCCCCAGGGTCCCCGTGTGCGCGCACGTGGCCGCAGCTCTGCCCCTGGACAGTCCCATGTGCGTACGTGGCTGCATCTGTGGCTCCTGGAGGGTCCCATATTCACACGTGGCCACGTTTGTGCCACTTGGGGCTGTACGCCCTCTGTGCCTCTCAGGCAGAGCCTGGGTGAGCGACTGCTAGGCGCTCTGCCCTGGGCTTGCAGCTCAGCCCTTTGGCCTTTGCTCTGGGCGTCTGCCGCCCCTGAGGGAGGTGGGGAGACCCCGCCACCCATGCTGGTGCCCTCGCGCCTCACCTTTGGCACAGTCCTTGCCGGTGTAGCCCACTTTGCAGGTGCAGCTGTGGGACCCATTGCTGGCCAGGCAGTAGCCTCTGCCCCCACAGGGGCTGGAGAAGCAGGGGTCACTCACTGGGAGAGGGGAAAGCAGCAGTGAGCTCTGGGGTGTCGCCAGGCCCCCCTACTCTGTTCGCACCCTTACACTTGGGGGCACTGGGTCTTTCTGGTGTGGCTGTGTTTGTGGGTGGAGGCAGCACTTTTGGGGAATGGAGGAGGGAGAGGGGACACTCTTGGAGGGGGGAGGGCAGGGTTTGCCACAGGCCCCTCTGAGAGACCAGGCCAGTGTTGCCTTCTGACACTGAACCAGGCCACCCTGCCACCACCCCTAAGGTGCCCTGGTGGGCAGTGCCTCAGGGTCGGGTGCGCAGAGGCTGGCCCCACCCTGCACCGTGCTGTGGGCACCGGTGTGGACTGAGCCCCCAGGTCGGGCAGGCCCACAGGTCCCTAGGAAGGCCACAGGAAACGAGCAAACAAGTAGTCAGCCACCACCGCTGTCACAGCCGCTGCAGTCTGTCCTCCCGGGCCCTCGCTGGCCTCAGGCCTGGCCACAAACAGTCCCTACTGTGCTCGTTCCCAGGCAGGCTGCTGTGCCCTGCAGTCCTCGGCCCCAGGCCTGTCCCCAGCACAGCCTGTACTGCCCTGTGTTGGAGCTGGGGCCCAGAAGCCCCATGCACCCTGCACCCCTGAGTGCTGCCAGCCAGGCCCAGCTTGGGGGCCGGGGACACGCAAATAGACAGGTCAGGCGCCCCCAGGACACAGCTGTCCTAGGAGGAGGTGTGCTCGGCAAGCGGGGGGCAGTACGGATGGGACACCCCGGAGAGGGGGTGCTGGAAAGGACAAGGCAGTGCTGGCCTGTGAGTGGGGGGAGGGGGTGCTGCAGCTCAGAGGGCAGCTTAGGCCTTGTCTTGGAGGGACACGCCAGCCAGGACCCGCTCCCCTGGGAGCCCCTGCTGTGGGCCGATGGGGAGAATGTGCCAGATGCCCGGACCCGGGGGCTGTCCAGGGACCTCAGGGCCACACCGCTGGATGTGGATCCGGGGCGGACGTGAGGCCTGATGGAGTCTCCGAGGGACGAGGTGGGGCCGTCGGCGGGGAACGGGGTGCCGGCAGGTGCAGGGGAGGAGCACCGGGCTGTGCCCCACCTGTCTCGCAGCGGTGGCCAAGGACGCCCTCCGGGCAGATGCACAGGTAGGCCCCGCCGGCCTTCTCGCACCGGGCGCCGTGCTGGCAGGGGCCGGAGTCACAGGCGTCCACCTCTGCGGAACATCCAGAGAGTGGGGCCCGAGCGGCAGGGGGGAGTCTGGGGGAGGGAGGAGAGGACAGCGGGAAGAAGGGAAGGGGAGGCGAGGGGAGAGGCCCGTGGGGTGCAAGGGGCTCGGGGAACCCCCTCACCTCTGGGGTCCCTCCCGCCAGTGTCCCTGTCAGGCAGGGCCCTGGGGACTGTCCTGCCACCCCCCGCCCCCGGCAGCCGGGGTCTGAGCTTGTAGAGAATGGGTTTGCCTGGGGCGTCTGGGGTGTCACAGTGTGAGTGAGGGCCCCGGGCCGACGGGACCGCTAGCACAGCGCCTACCTGTCTCACAGTGGACTCCGGCGAAGCCTGCGGGGCACTGGCAGACAAAGGCCCCTGGCAGGTCCCTGCAGGAGCCTCCATTTCTGCAGGGCTGTGCCTGGCACTCGTCTGTCTCTATAGAGACAGGACACGAGCCTGCACGGCCCCGCGTGGCCCTACGCAGCCCCCACGGCCCTGCATGGGGCCTCCCCGGCTCGCGCCTCCCCCAGCCTTCTGTGTGCAGCCCGGGGCTTCAGCCCGACACCGCTCCCTCCACCCCTGCCCCGCGAAGCCCCCACCCCAGGAGTCTATGTCCTGCACTGCATCGCCCAGGCTTTTTGGGGGCATTGACTGGACATCCTGGGCCTGGCCCTCTGGTGGTGTCTGTCTCATGGGCCTGAGGGTGCAGGGCCCCCTCCCTCCGCTGGCTTCGAGCCAGGGCCAGAGTCTGCGGGCGGCAGGAGAGGGCCCGTGGTCAGGTCAGCGTCTGCCAGCTGAGCTCTCTTCCCCCGTCCCCCCGGGGGGGACTCCACGTCCTTCTGGACAGCAGAGCTGGTTGGTGCCTGAGAGCGAAGGCAGTCCCCAACCAGAGACCAGCCCGGGGAGGGGATTGGCTGGAGCAAGGTGACCACAGCCAGGGGGACCCCAGGGCCTCTGGCCCACGGCCAGGGAGCTGGAGCTGCCGTCTAGTGGCCTGACCCGTCTTACCCAGCTCACAGCGGGCTCCCTCCCGCCCTGGGCTGCAGGCGCACAGGTACCCAGCGACGCGGTCCTGGCAGGAGCCCCCGTGCAGGCACGGCTGTGACAGGCACTCGTCAATTTCTGCTTGCGAGGGTCGCCAAGCGCATGGCAGCCAGGAGAGATCCAAGAATAAAGCAACGTTCTGTTGTTAGAGGCAGTGGCTCGACGCCAAATCAAGACAGACAAGAGCTGTGTTCTGAGGAGGGGGCAGAATTCTGTGACACCCCTTGGTGCTCGGAGAGGCCGGGACCCAGGGCAGCCGGCAGCTTTGGACAGGAGGGCACGGACTGGGGACCTGGTGCTGGGCCTATGAACAAGGACCTCGAGGGCTCTCAGAAGGCACAGGCCCAGTCCCAGGAGACCTCCGGCGGACGGGCCCGGTCGATAACCATCATGCATGGAACCCACGTGACGGGGCGAACTCTGCCCCTTACTACACTCACGGGTGTTTCTCAAACTGGGCGTTGTGGTCCTGAACTCAAAACGTCCGATTTAGAAAAGTTGAACTAGAATGCTTACCGCGTAAGTAAGTAAATAGATGGTGATGGCACAGTGACCCGTGGGGCCAGGGGCCAGGGGCCAGGGGCCAGCACCTAGCCTGAGAGCTCATCTGGTTACGTGCGCGCCCCATCCCGCGTGACGCGAGTTTCTGTGGCTTCCTCTCTGCCTCTTTCGACTAGTTTTCGAATTGCTACGAATTGCCTAAACAACACTGTGTGTGGTTTTGCTGTGCTGTTTGTGGACCCCTCGACAGCGCGGTGTGCGTGCTCTCCCTCACTCGCGCCCCGTGGGGTGCCGGGCCGCGCCTCCCCGCCCTTGCTCCATGTGCATTTGGGTTGGTTCTAGACTCTTGGCTGTTGCAAGAAAAGAGATGCTTCTGTGTATGGTCTTTCACATCTTCGGGTCCGGCGGTGCAGCTTCCCTTATGTGGACACCCGGCAGCGGAATTGCTCGGACACAGCTTACGTGCCCGGTCCCCTCAGCCCGTGTGGCCCGCAGACCCCGAAGCCTTGCTGGCTGCGGGGTTCCTTTGTGCGTTAGTCGGCATTTGGGTGGTCGCGAGCATTCTTTTTACGTGTGTTGGCTTTGTGTGTCTCCTTTTCCATGAAACGCCCATTCATGTGTTTTGCCGATTTTCCGAATGGGTCGATTATTCTCTTCTCATTGATTCATAGAATTCTTCATATAGTCTTGAAACCAGTTTAGTTAATTTGCCCACTTTTTCTTTTATTATTAGTGTTTTTTTTTAATGGCTTAAGGACTGTTTCTTTACCCCAAGGCCTATATTTCCCACCCAAAAATATGTAATTAAAAAAATCTTTGAATCCTGAATCCATCTGAAATTAGTTGTGTATGTTGAGAAGTAGAGAACCAGTGCAACATTTTCCCAAATGCACGACCATTTTGTTCGGGCTGTCTTCAAGATTTTCTCATGCTTTTTTTACAGTTTGAGCATTTACATTAATGTCTGTAATGAATTTCACACGTGAAAAAATGTATCATGTTTTTGATATTGTACATGATATTGTTTCATTTCATTTTTCAAGTTCACTGCTAGACTATGAAATTATAATCGATTGTGTGTATCGACCGTGTATCCCGTGGCCTAGTCGAATTCGCGTATTAGTTCTATACCTTCCTTAGAATTTTGTGTGCATGATCGAGTCCTTGTTACTTCTTCCTTTCCCACGGCTGTGCCGATTATTCCCGCTCCTTGTCCGGCACCGCCTAGGACAGTCCGGGGGCGGCTGCTGAAATCGCTGCCTTTGCCTGGTTCTGACCGTCTCAGGAAGGCTTCGCCATTAAGCCTTTTGCTGGCTGTTGGTTTTCATGGGCGCCCTGTGTCAGGCCGAAGGAATTCCCTTCTACTCTTAGTTTAGTGAGAGTTTTTAGTAACAGTTGAATTTCGTCAGGTGATTTTTCTGCATCTAGCAAGAGGATCATATGATTTTCTTCTTTCTCTCTCTCCTATTACGGTGAATTCCATTTACTGATTTTCAGATGTTGAACCAGCCTGCGTTCTTGAGATAAACCCCACTTGGTCACGACACGTTACCCTTTTCACGTAGCATTGGGGTCGACTTAGTGCTCTCTCGTTAGGATTTTGTGTCTATGCTCATGAGGCTGTAATTTCACTTTTGCAATGTCTGGATTTGGTCTCATGGCGATGCTAGTCTTACAAAACGAGTTGAGACATGTCCCTTCCTCCTGCATTTCCTAAAGGAGCCGTGCACGGCGTTATTTTCTTTAATGCTTGCTAGAACGCACCAGTGTTCCACAAATCTGGCTCTTCCATTTTCTTTGCGGGAAGGTTTTTATTACACACTAAAATTTAATAGCTGTGGGAATATTCACATTTTCTGTTCATTCTTCTGGCAGTTCTGCACTCATCCATTTCCTGTAGGTTGTCAGCCGCATCGGCCTAAGGTCACAGGCCCTTGTTGTCCTTTAAACGCTGGCGGATCCTTTGCGATGTCTCCTCTTTCACTCTGATGTTGCCCAATTTTTTTTTTCTTGATCACTCTAGCTAGAGGTTTATCTATTTTACTGAACTTTTCAAGGAACTAGCTTTTCGTTTCATTGGTTTTCTCTATATATGTCTTTTTCATAATTACATTTTTAATTGATGTGTAAAAATGAAATTAATTTCGTTATAGTAACCCATATCCACTGACTGTGTCACGCTTCCTGTCATTTCCAGGAGTTTGCCTGTAGGTTAAAGACAAACATCAGCTGCAAATACTGACATTTTTACTTCCTCCTTTAGCATTTTCATGATATCAACTTCCTTTTCTTACTTTATTGCGTTGGCTAGTACTGCCAATATAAGATCGGTTAGACTTTGATTATGCACAATTTTAAGGGGGACGTTTCTCTACTTAGGATACTGTTTAGTCTAGGTTTGAGAAGAGGCAAAGTCAGACTGCCTCAGAAGCTAATTTCCTTCCCGAGTCGAGTCAGCGGAGCAGATTCACCTCCTGTATTACGAGGATCGGAAAACTCTGTCCCACAGCCCTCTTGATGTGCCTGTACTCCTTTCACTGTAAACATGTGGGTTCTTTTCCTGCTTCTCATCGTGTGGCCCGTCTAGCTACATCCGTGCTAAGCACGCCTCTCTGTGGGTCACGAGCGCTTGGAGAATTCTTTTACGTTCTCCCTCCAATAGATCCTGTATTATTTTACACCACATGGTACTAGAGGGGGGTGTGTGTGTGTGTCTGTGATGTTTCTGTCTGGATAAGCAAGTACTTTTTATTCCTTGTTTGATAAGAATTTATTTCATGAATGGGTATGAATTTGTCAAATGCTCATTATGCATCTATTGAGATTCTTATATGGTTTTTCTTCTTCAATTGGTCAACGTAGCAAAATTTTCTAGTATCAAACTATTCGTGCCGCAGCCAACTTGATAATGGTGTAGATAGTCTTGGTAGGCTACTGAATTTCTGCATCTCCGTTCATGTGTTTAATGGACCCAAAAGTTTACTCTCCCCAACCGTCCATATCTGGTGTTGGCTCCAGGTTACACTGGCCTCGTAGAATGGGTTGGCACACGACCTTTATTTTCTACTCTCTGGAAGAGCCTGCAAGATGCTGAAAGGATCGATCTATCTGTTTCTTGGCAGCATGGTAGAATGTACCTGTCGCATTGTTTGGCGTTTCTTTGTGGGAAATGCTTTAACTACTGCTTCAGTTTCTTTAAATAGTTATAGAATTATGTAAACTCTGTATTTCTCAGAGTCATTTCTGATAAGTTACATTTTCTATGAATATTATGTCTATTTCTCCTAAGGGTTCAAATTTATTTATATAGACTAGTTGGCAATATTCCCTTATCATCTTTTTAATCCCTACTCTCTGTCACCTTTTTCATTTATAAAGATTTTTATTCGTGCTCTTTGTTTTTCCTTTTTAATCTTGAGAGAGATTTGTCCATTTTAGTAAGTGTTCAAGGAACTAATTTTATTGTTTATCTCTCCTTTTGTAACTTTGATTTGTTTCATTAATTATGGCTCGTATTTGTGGTACCTCTTTCTTTCCCTTTTCTTTAGTACCATTTTTTTGTTTTTCTAATTTCTGGAGTCAGACATTTAATTCGTTAATCTTGAACTTTTTTTACATGTATTTACTGCTATAAATGTCCCACGAAGCACAGTATTTGCTGCATCACATGAGTTTCAATGTAGAAAGTGACCATTGTTATTCATTTAAAAATACTTTCACTCTCTCTCTGACTTCTGCTATGGCTCATGAGGTATTTCAAAGTATCTTTAAAAATATCTAAACATAGAGTTGAACATTTATCTCCATTTTCTTAATAACTTATTTTTTGTGTGTATTCAGAGAATGAATTAGTTTGAATTATTGATTATAGTGTTCAAATCTTCTATCTTTTTGCTGATTGTTTTTGGCTCCTTAACCTGAATTAATTGAGAGAGATGATGCGGAATTTCCTAGTATTCTGGCGAATCTGTCCTTTTTTTTCTGCAGTCCATTAATTTTTGCTTTATATATACATCGAGACTATTAGATCTGATGTTTGAATGTTATAATGGTGGTGACTTCTTGGTGAATTGAAACAATCATTGTTGAGAGACTCTCCTCACTCTACAGTCTATTCTGTCCGAATTTTGATTTGCATTTGCCCAATTTTGCCCCCATACTTTTACTTTGCCTTTCTATGCCCTTTTGCTTTAGGGGTGCCTCTTCCGAGTGTACAGCTTGTACTGTAATAAATCTGACAATCTGTCTTTTACCTGAAGAGTTTAAGCCATTCACATTTGTCTGTATTTTTTCTATCATAATTCTTTTTAATCTTAACCTTTACCATTTTTTTCTCTTTTTCCTTTTAGATAATGACAAATCTTTCTACAGTATTTCATAATTCTCCCTTCTCTTATTGCTTACAAAATGTTCTGGGTTTATCTTATTATTTGAGTAGTTCCTCTAAAAAATGACCTTTTTTAGGGGGCGGGGGTAAGCCTCTGAGGCTGTATTTGCATGAGAATGTTTTTTAATGTCTCATATTTGAATAACAATTTGGATAAAAATTTTAGGTCTTAAGTTTGTATATTTCAGTATTTCTGCTTGTTATTTGCTGAGCTTGTATTTGTGGGTTGATGTATTTCTCCTTTTTTAGAAAATGCTCAGTCGTTATCTCTTCAAATTTTTCTTTAGCTCATTCTGTCCTTTCTTTCTGGAACTCCAATTAGGTGTTTGATATTGTCCCACATATTACTGATATTCTGTTGCTTTAAAAAATTATGTATTAATAATTTAAAATTCATTTTTTCCTCTCTGATCTTTAGATTTGATAACTTTGGTGACCTGTCCTTGGATTCTATAATTTTTTCTTCTGTTCTATCCGTTCTGTTGGTAAGCTATCCAATGCATTTTTCTTTCCTCTGCTCAAAGTTTTCTATTCCCTAATTCATTTTCTTTAACACGTTTATAATGCCTGTTTTAAAGTCCTTGTCTGCTAATTCCAACGTGTGGGTCATCTGCAGGCCTGTTTCTATCAACTCTTTCTTCTCGAGATTACATGTCATAATCTCTCCCTTCTGAGATATCATGTATTCAAGAACAGAGAAACCAAAGTAGAACATGCCTGCCCTGGGGTGGGTATGCTGTTCTCCGTCAGGCAGCCAGGCATTGGAGCTGGTCCCTGGCCTCCCACGGAGCTGGTCCCTGGCCTCCCGCGGAGCTGGGCGGGGCGGGGCTGGGACGCAGTTCAGGTCAGTTTCGGTTCACGTTGGTTTTAGGGGCTTCAGGGTTGGAACGCGCTCGTCTTCCCGCTGGACTTGAGATCTCAGCCGTGTGAGACTCTGCTTCCCATATCCCGCCCCGTGGGGGGAACTGGTGCGTGCTGAGGTGTTTCTGGCGTCTGCAGCCCCCATCCAATCTGCCACACGTGCCCGCAGCCGTCGAAGGCCTCCGCGATTTCCTGCTCCCGCTGGCTCGTGGGATGGCGGCAGCCGGCAGCCACTGCCACCTGCGAGGGCTGGTCTCCACTTCTTTGCCTCCTCAGCTCTCCGGCAGGTTAAAAGATACAATCTGTACGTATCCGGGGGTTCCTGGGTGTGGCATTGAGAGCAATGATAGTTTGTAACTGCGTCCTAACGAAAGAGATCTGTGTTTAACAAACAGTTTCATCATCTTTCACCTGATGCCACCGCCATTGAGAAGTCTGGCGCCAATCCGATCTTATTTTTTTGTAGATTGTTTCTTTCTCCTCTCCCGATGTTTTAAGATTTCTTTCTGTCTCTGATGTTCTTCGATTTTGTTATAACGAGTCTAAAGGTTCTCTTTCCTGCTGCTTGCTGTTCTGTGGGCGGTTCGGCTGTGCTTCCGCGAGTCCAGCTCCACAGTCGCTCACTTCGTCCCTTTGTATTCTCTCTCCTCCTTGGACTCCTGTCATCTCCACGTGGCACTTACCCTTCGGCCCTCCATAGTGCCTGCGTGTTCTTTTTGATTTATATCACAATTTCGGGGGAAATTCCTCAAACTGATCTTTCAACTCATGAACTTAGTCTTCATTTGTATCCATCTATAAATTTACAAATTATGACTGTTCTTTCAACTATTACAGTTTCTCAATCCTTTAACAATATTTGTTGGTCCCACTTTCTACGGCCCGCGCCCTGCTTCCTTCTGCGTACGTGGCGCCCTTTCCCGCTCACGCTCATCTTCCGTCCTTCTCCCCGGGGGACGTGTTGTCTGGACATACTGTTTCGGGGTTGTTACACTTCTCCGGGGACTCGTGGTCTTGGCTGTGAGCTTACACTCCCTGGGGGCACTGGCCCCTCACCTGACAACACACTGGGGACAAGCAGCAGTGGGGGGGTCTCCTAGACAGTGCCCACCAGCCAGGGCTGGGGAGGATGGGAGTAAAAGGAAGAGCCCAAGGCCAAGTGGTGCCTACCTGTCTTCTAGACCACCCCACCTGAGCGGGGCGCACAGGCCAGGCTTGCGAGGGGTGCGGGAGCGAGCAGTATGTATGTGCCCACCCATCTGGATGCTGTTCCTGTCTCTATGCTAATTTGTTTTAAAAATCCATGTTGCATGAAAAGTATTAACACTACTCAGATTTTCTGAACAGAGTCTGGAATGCTTTGGGCCAGTGTGGGACGCCTGCCTGCAGCTGTGTCTCCAGGGGCGCCGTCCAAGGGCCATTACATGGCCCTGGTGGTCCAGGATGCTTTAGAGCGGCAGCTCCCAGCCGGGGTGCTGGCTCTGGTCCCACAGATGAGGGAGGGCAGCCTGCACCCAATTTGCCCTGACCCCCGACCCTGGCCCCCGTCCCCTGGCCCCTGGCCTCAGCTGCCTCATGGGCACAGTGGGCGTGAGTGTCGGAGCTGGAGCTCAGGGCTGCTGAGGACCCGGGAGCCCTTAGTGAACCGTCCAGAGGGGAGCTAGCCCGGGTTATCCCTGCCATCCGCACAGGGTTAGCGCCTCAGTTTGTGGGGAGGAGACCCAGGAGGGAGGGGCAGGGCCCTGGTCAACACTGCTGGGCTCCCCCACCTGGCCAGGTGAGTGGGGTGTTGGCCTCACCAGCCCTGCCCACCGCCCACCCACCCCAGAGGGCCCGCAGATCACCGTAGCACTGGGGAGGCTCGCTCCAGACGCCCTGCGGCTGGCAGACCCGGACTGCGCTGGGGGCACTCGGGCTGTAGCCTTGGTCACACAAGTACACGGCCACTGAGCCCAGCCGAGTGCCATTCAAGCGCAGAGTGGCATGCTTCACCTCCTCGGGGGGGCCGCAGTCCACCTCTGCAAGGACACAACAGCCTGCACCTTGGGGCACCTGCCCCCCCTGCTCTGCCCTCTGCCCACCAGGCCCCAGAGCCCGGACCTCCGCTCCCGGCACAGCCCGCCCATGGTGAAGGTGCCCCAACTTCCAGGACAGGCTGCCCGCAGGCTCCCCTTCCCTCTCTCCCGCTCCACGCCCTGCCCAACCCTGGTCTTCCAGAATTCAGAGGGACACCCGAGCCCCGACCTGGCCCTTCAGGCCTCTCACCCGCCTGGCACCGGCGTCCCGTGTACCCTGCCCGGCAGCGGCAGGAGAAACCTGTGCCCAGGCCCTCGCAGGTGCCCCCGTTCGCACAGGGACTCCGGAAGCAGGGGGAGGGGGCTGAAAGGGCGCAGGGGGTCACTGTCACCCATCACTGTCCTTCCTGAGGCCTCTGGGCGGCTTAGGGCTTCCCGTCTGCCCCCTGCTGCCTGGGCCAGCCCCGCCTGGGCCTGCCTCTGTGTCTGGCGGGCCTGGCCACCGGCCCGCTGCACCTTACCTATCTCACAGTGCCGCCCGGAGAAGCCGGGGGGACAGTCACACTTGTATTTGCCAATGTAGTGAAAGCAGGTGCCTCCGTTGTGACAGGGGCCAGAGGCGCACGAGTCCGGTTTCCCTGGAAGCAGAGGCCACGTGGGGTCGGAATCGTGCGTGGGGTCCCGTGTGCGCGCCCGCCCCCTCCGCCGCCCCGGGGGGGCTGT